TGGTTTTGGTGTAATGGATAATCCATGTGTTCCACTAGTCTTATATGTACTAATAAACTCTTTTTTAGTCATGGGCCCTTAATTCCTTTAATCTTTTTTTCTTTTTTGTATGTATTGATTTCATATCATTTTGACCGTACTTGATTTCAGATTATTTAATTTTCAAAAGAAAACTGTAAATTAACATTGTAAAAGGGCATCACAAATATATGAGTTCACAAAGATGGAGGTGCTGCACTGTACTACTGCATAGTGCATACTGATCAATATGCAAGCAAAGTATTGATCTGGTTAGCTTTTTAATCATATGTAGTCATAGTTTAATTAAGTTTTTAAGAAATTTTCTGAAACATCATTATTTGTTGGTAAGGAATTCAGGGTACAGTATGCTTGTGGCTTGTATACTGTATATAGACTATATATAGAGACAAGAAAGATAAGCAACATACATAAGTTTTATTAGTTCATTTCTCTGCAATATTATGTACTACAGCATGTCGAAGCAAAAGGTCCTTGGGTCTGCCTAATGTAGTAATGTCATTGAAGATTTGAAACAAAAATATGGGCCCTAGTTAGCTTAATGTGTAATTGGGCTGAGAGTTGTAATAAGTTATTGGGCCTGAACAAAAGATAATTTTGATATTGGGCTTTGTTATTTCGTTTAATATATAATACATGTAGGCCTTTGGCTTAATGGTAATTTTCTGAGTGCGTGCATGTTGAAGTGTTGAACCAGTTCATAGTTTCATGAAGATTAATTATAAAATCCATTTGAACAACAAAAATGTATAATATATAATTTTGCACCGGCTAGATAGTTTTATGACATCACAAAAAACAATACTCGTAGTATTATACATCATCAATTCATCATATACTCATAATATATTCCATCCAAGAATAATACAAGTACAACCTCAGGAAGTTTTCAGTTCACAAAAGTCAAATTTTTATTTGCTCCCCATCATGCATGTTGTTGGAAATTAGAAAAAAAAAAAATGG